GGGTTCGCTGCTCCCCAGCCAGTCAGCCAGGTTGCTGTGGTCGCAGGTGGAGTAGTTGGCGAAGGTCTTAAGTTCCGTCAGCTCCCGGAAAAACCTGGCAAAGCAACAGATGAAACGTGGAGCGGGGAGGGGGAATTGCTGAACCAGGCAGGGCCTAGAGATGCTTGATAACACATGACTTTTATCTGCACAGGAGAGTGCACTTACATGCTGTGATAAAGAAGGAACAAAAGAAACAGAGAAAGAGGCAAAGCAGCTGCATGACTCTGGGAGCATTGGTCTGCAGGACACCAAGCCCTGAGGAGCTCAGTCAAGGGAGGTAAGTTCCCGTTTTTCTGGGTAATATGCAGGATCCTGCCTCAGTTTCTCCGCCAGTTTCTAGGGAGAGTCACTCCCCATGCCACAGCTCTCTGGGGCATTGCCCCATTGCAGGAATCCCTCTGGGCCTGTGTACTGCCTTGTAAAAGCCCTGGTAATCCAGGTCTCCCTTTTCAGGATCTCTGGTCTTGCCTTTGTGGGAAGAGCACAGGTATTTTCTGTGGCTCTACCACAGTGCTGACTGCCAGGGAGAGGCCAGTGTGTGCTAGGGGTGCTCCTGGGGTAGAGTTCCTACCTCTTCCGAGTGATGCTGGAGTCCATCCCCAAATCCTCCTGCAGCTCCTTCTCCGTCAGTCGCAGGAGTATGTCCCCGTCCACCTGGTGGTCCTACCAAGAGAAGCCCAAACAGGCGTTTAGGGGCTGCAGAACCTCAAGCAGGGGTTGCAGAAAGCTGCCGCTTGCTGGAGACAGCTGAGGGGCCTGAAGCCATCACCCCTCTGCTGGGAAACGGGACCGGCACGAAGGAGACCTGGCACATGAGCCTCGGTACCCACACGTTTGGGCTACAGTTTCTCTCTGGGATGTGATACCCAGACTTGATGCCTCCAGAGGTGTGTGCGAGAGGGGAAGGGAAGGAGGGCTCTTGTAGAGACGTGGCTGGTGGTGGGAGACGCTGTGGCCTCCCTCAATCCTGGAGCCCCAGAAGGCCAGGCAGCTGTTCCATCCAACCGCTTCTCAGCCACCAAGTGCTGATGTGTGTGTGAAGACGCTGGAACAGGGTGGTACAGGAGGAGCTTTTTGGGTGAGATGCCTCCACCTCTAATGTAGGGGCAAAAGGGCCCACCCAGCTGTCCCTCCCCTGCCGCGTGCCCTACCAGGAAGCTCTGGCAGTACTTGTTGAATCCAATCTGCTGCAGCCACGTTTGCACCTCAAAGGTTTTCCAGTTGGGAACAGTGGGCAAGATGCGCCGAGGCACCTCCTCCCCTATCGTGCGCAGCACCTTTTTGGCCAGGGAGGAGGTGGTGCCGCTGGTGGAGTAGCACACGATCCTCTTCAGGCTCTGCGTAGCCCCAATCTCGCTGAAAATCTGGGGACACAAACGGAAGACCCATGACTTCGCCTGCCCTTCCTTGCCCCCGCACCCTGTGCTAGGCCATCCTCAGGCCGAGATACTCAGTAGGCTCAAAAGGGAGCAAAGAACATCAAGATGTCCCATTCCCTTTTGCATCTTCCTCGTGCCGGCCAACCTACCCTTTACCTTTGTTTTCTTCTGCCTGGTTTTGATGGCAGCCTCTGTGCAGAGGTAGAAGGCAGCGATGCACTGAGCCTCCAGCCGCGAGCTGTCCAGCAAGGGCACTAGGCGCTGCAGGTCAGCGGCTGTCCTTCCCTGGCTGTTGTCACTGCTGTCCAGCATGTCACACGCAAACTGGCCCGGATCCAGAGAGGCGATGAAGGGCTCCACCAGAGCCAGCGTCCCCGACCGCTCCACCTCCTTCTCGATTTCTTTGTTGGTGGCCAGCACCGTGATGGCCAGACACGCGTGCAGACGGATCAGCTCATCATCCCTTGAGAACGCCAGCGGGAAGAGCCACTCTGCTGTCTTCTTCTCGATCATGAGGCGCTGGTTGGCCTGCCCGCCATACATGGCACAGTTGGCCAAGGCCATGGCACAGTGACGCAGCACGACGGGGTCTGTCCAGCGGCACCAGTAGAGGATGGCATCCAGGCCTCCGTCAGAGATGAGCTGGAAACAGGTCTCCTCAGTGTGTTTGAACATGTGTTCCAGGATGCCAGAGACGCTCTGCACCAGCTGGGGAATGTCTCGCTCCTTGGCTAAATTCAGGATCACTCCCAGACCGATCCGAGCAATCCGGTCCCTGGAGGAAGGAGAAACACAGGCAGGTGAGGGACAGATGGCTGTGCAAGTAGTGAGAATGTTCCTGACGTGAACTCTTCCAGATCCCAGTGATATTTGCCCCGTGAGAGACAGATGTTTCCCCACAGGCCCTGCTGCTGATTTTGATAGAAGAGCTTGTGATGTGACAACGTGTTGGACCCTGTGCCAGGGGCTCCCTTTTGCTCCACTGAAGAGATGCAGAACAAGCAACAATGCAGGTAAGAGAATGCTGGGCAAGGAGTAGATCTCACTCAGCTGTCCTGGGGTGTAGGAACTGCTTTGTGTTCAGGTGTGAAAACTTGTTTGCCCCTAACCAGTGTCATCACCTGTCTGCCTTCCAGCTTGGTACCAAGCACAGGACAAGGTGCTTCACCTGGGGCTGAACGACTGCTCCCGATATCATCATGTCACAATCCAGGCCGTGACTGAACCGCAGGTTCTGGCTCCGTGCTATGAACAGCAGGGTCCAGCGCTTCTGCAGCCTTATGAGGCAAAGGCAACAGATGCTCTGCACGCAGCCATCGCGTGGCTGGGACATGGCCATCCTGCCGTCTGCCTGGACAGGAGCAACGCCTGCTCTCTGATGAAGACAGGGAAACAGTTTCCAAGTGAGTAAAGGTACGCTGGTTGCATGACTGAAACCACAAATACCCTCTGGCTGACGCTGTGCAGCCTTTTGGGACTGTGACAACTTCATTTCGCTCATATCACTGTCCCAATAAGGTCGGTGTGGGAGGGAGAGGCTGCAAGGCCCTTGTGAAAGGTTTGCAAACTGCCAGGACTAGTGTGTGAGTTGCAGTGATCTCCCTGTCCGGTGCTGGTGGCTACAGGACTGGCTGTGGGGATACGCTCTGCTTTGGGCCTTAGAAACAACTGCTCTGGTGCAGTGGTGGATCTGCCCCATCTTCGTGGCACGCGCGTTGGCACAGATCTTCCTTGTGTTGCTTGTGGGACCCAGGAGCCTAAGGCAGGATCAGTGGCAGCCCGTGGCAGTGGTGGGGAGGAAGGCACGCCAGTGTCTCCACGTTGACAGGCCAGAAGGGTGTTTCTGGGAAGCCAGCGGCCTGCACGGCTCACACTGACCTTGGGGTGGATTTGGCAGCAAATGCTGCGGAGAGCTCTGGAAAAAAATCCCTCACTCTGGGGCTGGCTTCAAGCCCAGGCTCTGCCATGGCCAGATGAGAAATGAGACCCATGGGGTCCCCAGAGCCATAGGATGGAGCCGGAGTGGAGACCAGTCCAGCTCCAGCCTGAGCCCTGAGGCACTCAGGTGCCAGGAGAGCTCTGTTAGGTAGGGGCTTGTGCTCGGGGGCTGCCCCCTCCGTCCTTGCCTGGAGGGAGGTGGCAGGGCAGAAGGCCCCGGTGGCACAGGCAGCAAGGGGAGGCTGGGGGGCAGCTGGCTGCACCGAGACCCCGGCCCAAAAGAGCTCTTGGAGCGCAGATGTGACTCCTGCAGCTGCTTTCTCCTGCCAGGAAGTGATGTGCTGGATTCAGATCATGCCTGTGATGTTTCCTTGGATTAATTCCACCTTAATGGACTTTCCGGCTTAGCTCTTTTGTTTCTCTGGGCTTTGCTGAATGCAGTGGTGGGCAAAGACCTGGTGCCCGTGAATCCATTGCAAGTCCAGCGTGATGCCCATCAGTCTGTGAGCTGACTGATGTCTAGAGGTAGCTTGACCTTCTTCCCTCCCCTGCCCTGAAGCTCCGCATGCCCCTGCTCTGCCTCAGGGTGCAGCTCCGGGAATGGCACTTCAATAAATGTTTGCTAACCCTGTTGATACCTGCAGACTTGCAGGTGCTTCCCTTCCTTGCAGGACAACTCTGCACAGCTGCTCCAGTGCCGCCTGGCAGAGCCTGCTCTCGCTGTGAGATCCCTGTGGATGGTTGAGGACAATGTCCCTTCCAGCTAACGTGCTCCTTCCTGAAGAGCCTGAAGCCCTGGTGAAGGACAGTCAGGAGATGCAGATGCCCTCAGGTGGAGCATGGCAGCAGTAGCCGTTAATGGTGCAGGAACCGGTGCTGGAAAACCAAGTGGAGCAGCCAGCGGATCAAAAGTCTGCAGAGGAGCTGGGGAAATTCCCTGACATGGAGGCCCTTGGGGTAAGATACACTGCTCATGAAGCTGCAGCAGGACTGTGAACTTTGGCCAGGCTTTCTCAAGCCTGATGCAGCCTGGATGTAGACACATGGCCACTGCCACTGTCTTGCTGCAGGAATAAGCAGGGTGTTAGGAGAAAGGAGCAATGACCACTTGGTGGAGAGAAAGCACTGGCAGTGATGCAGGACTGCAGTGTCGGGAGGGCAGCTGCGAGTGAAGTCGAGGGCTGAGCCCATGCAAAACTGTTCTGGGGCTGCTACCTGCACAGCAGATCACAGCGCTGGGCTCCGGGGCTTGGAACGAGCTTGGGCTCGCTTGGAGCTAGCGGCAGTCCCAGCCGGTGACCCACAGCCCCTCTGCAGTCACTGCTAGAAATGTGTCACGGGGACAGCCCAGAGAGTCCAGACATCAAGGCTGCAGCAAAAAGGGACAAATGACAGAGTTCCTCTGGAGGCCGTACCTGTCCTGGGCATCCCTGTCCAAGCCCTGGGCAGGATGCTGCCTGCTCGCTCGCAGCATGCAGGAACAAAGGGACACAGGATAGAGCAGTGTCAGCACAGCCCAGCGTGCCCGTGCCTGCCTTCAGCTCCTTCAGACTCCTCGACTCGCTTGGAGTGAATCCGGTCTCATCTCTAAGCAGGAGAGGGGGACGTCTTTGCCTGCACAGCGCCCATGCGGAAAGGCCTGAGGCTGGTGCAGCTGAAGTATGGGGGCAGCTCCTCCTTGGGCTCTGGCTCTGCTGGGACGAAGGCACTGCCAGGCACATGCAGGGGACACATGCAGGGAGGGTACCTGCACAGGGAGCTCTGCCCGCCAGGAGGGACAC